AGTTGTGTAAATGTGAGTGTTAGCAAAGCCCTTGCTTTAATGGGGACCCCTCAGCATTGAGAATGAGGATCCCCTGCTGAGGGGGGGGCAGTGGGTTTGCTCTATGCTGGCAGGGTTTTGAGCAGCACTCTATAACCACAATGAGACACAGCCAGTGTTTTACTCACTGCTGCCCAACTTTAACTCTTCTCTCTTCACTCATATTTCTTGGCTTTTCTCGGATTTGCAAAAAATATTCCAGGGTAAAAATACTGATGAAAGTGTGTCTTTAATCTGACTTTTTAGACATACACAGACAACTAAAAGAAGAAATGTCAATCAACTCATCTTTCAAAACTGAGCGTTATACACTCAGCAGTTATGCACAGTGATGAATGTGCTGTATCTATGATGGTGCTGCCCCTTCATATACTTAGGCACAAAAGGTTTTATGAGCGATTCCATAGAAGAACCACTTTTGCTTTCCTAAAGAACCCTGTTTGAAGAAGAGGATGTATATGTGTGAAGAACCTTTTATAGGTTAAAAAGAACTTTCCCATAAAGTTTCCCCTATACCAATTTAAGGGTTCTTATGTGGAGGTTCTCAAACATCTTGTTTATTAAAAAGGGTTCTCTAAAGAACCACCCATTGTAAGGTTTATTTAGGGGACGAAACGTCCAGGGCACTGTCCAAAGAACCCTTTCCCAATGCCTTTATTTTTAAAGTGTAGTTCACTTATCTTTCAGTCCTTTGTCAACATACTGACCCACTTATTGCACTGGTGCCATCCTCGCACAATTACGAGAGAGAGAGAGAGAGAGAGAGAGAGAGAGAGAGAGAGAGAGAAAGAAAAAGAGAAATAATGAAAAAGAGAAAGGCCCTGGCCAGCGATTCTCCCCATCAGCGCCCCATTAGATTAGTGACGGCCTGCCACTGCAATTAAGCAGCGGAGAGGGTGATTTAGTGCTCCACTTTACAGCATTCTTCTCTGCATGGGGCCGACCAGTCAATGCTAACAGAGCCACAGAGAGCAACCGCTCAATAACACCCAACACATACACACTGAGCCTTACTCGTCCATTCTTTTTCTCTCTCCCTCGCTCCATGCGTCCTCTCACACACTAAAAGGCACCTTTACTAAGACCTTATTTTGGCATTAAAAAGTGCCTACCACAATTTACTTATGGCCTTTTTTTTGCCCATAACAAGATCAGAGGAGCAGTTGTGCTTTTTTCCCATTTGCTTAATTTAATCTGCATTTAAAGGAGTTTTCACAAGTTAAAATCTCAAGAAAATAAGTCATCATTTCAGCCTAACGAGTCACAAATAGAACTTGAAAAAAACACTTTTCTCCTATATGGCGAGAACAAATTTAATACAAAAGCATGCGAGTCAGACAGGGGTTTATACGGCACTGGTGACATGCTAAGAAGCTGCGTCTGTGTTCACTGGCATCAAAGTTCTCAGTACATAAAGTGATAAAGTGGCCACCCCATCGGCACAAAGTGTCTGTAGACACATCAGTTAATGCTTCTTTTAGTAAATCTGCCCCTTATGGTGTCACAATGCATATGTCGCAGTCCAGACATGAGACAAAACAAACTTGAGGTTGCCAACTACAGCTGCATTCTACTAATGTCATCTAATGCGATAGCATTGTTTCAGTCATCTTAAAGGGGCCCCTATCGTGGGAAATCATACCGTCCTCACTATTTGAAATAAGAGTTTGATGTAATACGTAAGGTTTTAATGTCTATCATTCACTCGCCATTCTATACATAATAAACATTCACATAATAAAACTGAGCTGTAAAAACAGCCTGTTTTGATGTAATTTACATATTTAGCCTACAGCAGCTTAACTCTGCCCATTCATGCTGAAATTATAAGCAGTGTTTCAGCCCAGCTTTTTGAATGAGGCATAATACACGGCAGCCTATCAGAACAGAGGTTTTTTACATATATCAGTCGTAAAGTCACAGTAACAAACGCAGATCATTAAATTCTAAAGGATAACAATAGGTCAGAAAAGGGTTGTATGAAAATTGATTACATAAAATCATGCAAACCAAACTTTCCAAAGGCCATCAACATCATCTTCATCATCATCATCTGGCAGTGGTTAGTGAATGTGTTCAATGCATTACAACAGCAATAATAACCATGATGAGGCAATCTTTTGAAAACCATCACAATAAGCCCAGAGCTTTCCTACGGCCAGTCATTGTTTTTATCTTCCTAACACAGAGCTAAAATCAGACAACAACTGCATCCTGCAGACAGGAAGTGCTTTTGTTGCTGGCTAGGAAGTGATCTCAGCCCTGGGGGGGGGACACAGTGAGAGGAAAGCCCTATTCAGGACATGAAGGAGCTCCGCCCTGCACAAACAGGACGTTTCTACACCAGCAGACACAACACAAATCACCCCCTGCCTCTCGCTCTCTTTTCCCTCTTCGTTTGGCTCCTCTTTCATGCTGCCACCAGTTGCTGTTCACCTTTTCCCACCACTACTTCTTCCCCATCACTCTATACCCTCCACTTCAGTCTCATCTAAGGCTGCAGAATATAACATTCTTTCATCTTTATCATAATATTAGCATGTCCAATACTGACATTGTGGTGTGCAATATGTGAATGGGCCTCTAACCAATCACTGATGTTTTATTGATGTTTACTTCAGCGTTATGATGTCAGTCTGGTCCAAATCAATTCAGGCCTATTTATTTATTTATTTATCTATTTCCTTCCCATCCAGGGATTACTAATATGTTTTCAACATATTCAAAGGTATCCTGCAATCGCAGGATCTACAGTCATATGCAAAAGTTTTAATTCCCCTGAGTTTAAATGTCAAATTTATGATTTTAAGTGAAAATAAGTTGTCCTATAAGTAATTAAGTAGGTTCTCTACAGAGAACACATTTAAACATGGCTTTTTTCTGCTAATTTTAGGGCACAATTTCTATTAATTTGCTGATTTTAACATATTAGAAAAAAAGCAAAACATATGTTTTGTTCAATATGTTAAATTCATTAAATAAATAAAAATTGTGCATTAAATTATGAGAAGTGTGTTCTCTGTAGAGGAGGTGTTAACTTGTATTTACTTAAAAAAGAAAAATCAACAAAACAAGCAATTTGACTGGGGCGCCCAAACTTTTGCATACAACTATAGCAGTGTAACTACAATGTAACAAACAAAATATTGAAAGACTGCCTTAAATTGCATCTCAAAAATCTTTTTCATTGCTATAGCGACAATGAGCTCTGCTTGGTAACAGTTTACCCGCATTAATGACTACTTTTATTCTATGTGTAATTTTTCAAATATTGCAATATTTACCGCACAAGCGTAAAACAACTTTTGCTATAATTATCCATCATCTCTTCTAACGTGATGCTTTATCTTTCCTCACTGCTTCTAAGAAACTCTCAGTATCACTTATTCATCAAAAGCACTTTTATCTCGCTGCATCTGCCGTCACTGCAAACATGGAAACAGGAGCTCCCATGAAGAATGATGACACAGGCTGATGCACAGACACACAGCTGAATCCTCCTGGGATTCTCCTGTCTGTCATGCAGACGAAGCAAAAGGAAATCATAAGCACTGTAAAAGAGACGGCATGAATTTCTCACTGAGAAGGTGAGACTTCCTTTCCTCCATGTTACTGACATGCTGTATGCACACAGAGCTGGTTTACATAGATATGACCCACTGACGTCTGGAGCCGTCGACACTCCATTAACACTCTGAGGCATTCACAGAGGAGCGCAAGAGTGAAAGTGTGAGAGAGAGAGAGAGAGAGAGAGAGAGAGAGAGAGAGAGAGAGAGAGAGAGAGAGAACTAATGCATGAGAGAAAGAATGAGTAGTGAAAACAGAGAAAGAAATAAAGGAGGCACGTGTGAGATAAAGAAAAAAGAAAAAGAGCAACAAAAGGGAATGACAAGTTTGTGCAAGAAAGGAGTAAAAGAGTGAAAGAAATAAAGAAAAGTGAAAGACAATGAGAGAAAAAGAACAAATGGAAGAGTGTGTGAAAAAGAGAAAGGGAGGAAGAGAGAGACAGAGAGAGCAAGAAAAGAAGAGACAGAAAGAGCAAATTAAAAAAAGACAAACTGGAAGAGAGAGTCAGCGAGGTCAAATACAGAGAGACAGAGAGTGAGAACAAATAAAGAAAGAGAGAGAGAGAGAAATACAGGAAGAGAGAGACAGAGTAAAAACAAATAAAAAAAGAGAGAGAGAGATAGACAGAGAGTGAGAACAAAAAAGAGAGGGAGACAGATAGACAGATAGACAGACAGACAGACAGACAGACAGACAGATAGATAGATAGATAGATAGATAGATAGATAGATATGGGAAGAGAGACAGAGCGACAACAAATAAAGAGAGAGAGAGATAGATATGGGAAGAGAGAGACAGAGAGTGACCACAAAAAGAGAAAGAGAGAGAGAGAGAGAGAGAGATACGGGAAGAGAGAGACAAAGTAAGAACAAATAAAGAGTGAGAGAGAGAGATAGACAGACAGACATATGGGAGAGAGAGAGAGAGAGAGAGAGAGAGAGAGACAGAGATGAGAGCATGTAAAGAAAGAGAGAGAGAGATCGGAAGAGAGACAGAGTAGAGAAAGAAAGACAGAGATACAGGATAGAGAGATAAGAGGACAACAAATAGAGAGAGAGAGAGAGAGAGAGAGAGAGAGGAGAGAGAGACAGAGAGTGAGAGCATGTAAAGAAAGAGAGAGTGAGAGATACGGGAAGAGAGAGACAGAGTAAGAACAAAGAAAGAAAGACAGAGAGATAGAGGACAAGAGAGATAAGGAGTGACAACAAATAGAGAGAGAGAGAGAGAGAGAGAGAGAGAGAATGTGAGAGAGAGAGAGAGGTATGGGAAGAGAGACAGAGAGTGAGACAAGAAGAGAGCAAGCAAAGATAGAGAGATATACTAGAAAAGAGAGGCTGAGAGAGAGTGAATAAAAAGAGAATGAGAGAAAAAAGTAAAGGATATTTGTACGTTACCTGTTTAGCCTCCTCCACAGACGCATGTAGTTTCCGCAGCTCTTTCTCGTACTGCTCCCTCAGTTTGTCCACCTCCTGGTCATGAGTGGACACCTCCTCCTTCAGCGCTCCTTTCAGAGCAGTCAGCTCCCTCTCGCGCCTCCTCAGCACGTCCTCCTGCTCCTCTTTAGCCAGCAGCACCTCCTGTAGATCCAGTTTCAGCTGCATCAGGTCCTGAGAAGGAGGAGAACATGATTATTGCCATTTCCAACAGCTAAGGTCAATGATAATCTGCAAAACCACTGACCAAGAGAATAAACAGACACAGGAGTATAAAATATGCATTGGGAATTTCCAAAGAATTTCACATTTGCTGCTTCACTGAATGACATACAGTTATCAAAAAACATGGACAAAAGTATGTCACACAGCTAAAAGCAGCATTAGCCGCCACTCCGAGGCCTAAATTCTGTCTGTTTTTTTGTCCATGTTTATAGTTGACAGTGCGTCATACAGTGTCAGAAGCTCCATAAGCCAGTCTATGATTACTTAACAACCTAAACGTTTGCACGATGCTAACTGGTGGTTTATAAGCTTCCATTGCGCGTTAGCAACATTAGCCATGTAACTCCTGAATAAAACTAAACAAGCAAACCTCAGACACTAAACATGACCCGATTACAGTGTCTGCACGCTGTAGTGTGTAGATCACCTCCATCATGGACTCCTTCTCTGCGCTGTCCGACTGTGACCGCTTGGCTCCGTCCAACTCGTCATGCATTTCTGAAAGCTGGTCCTGCAGGTCCCTGATCTCCGTCTGATACTGCTCCCTCTCCATCTTCACCTGGAAGAGCCTGCCATACACAAACACACGTATTATAGGTATTATGTATGTATAAATATCTCTATGTAATGTGCTAATAATCATAATCATATTATTATTATTAATGTATCTATGTAATATTTCTGATATTACTGTACTATATAGTGTAATAAGACACACACACACACACACACACACACAGGCTAAGTTGAGGATTAGGTTTCAGATTAGACTTATTCTTATTAATAGTAATAAGAATAGTTCTAATCTGAAACCTAAACCTAAACTTAACCTCAGTAACCAGAAAGATTTTTTTTTTTTAGTTTTAAAAAACGAAAAATAAACATGGCACTTTTGGAAAAAGCACTTTAGTCAGTAAGGAGTATTTTCTGAAACTGTACAACACACACACACACACACACACACACACACACGGCCAGTGCACCTGCGCTCTGAATCATATCTGACTGCCCACTGAGTGAGTACTTGCAGCCTATTAACTATTAACTGTCTCTGCTGCACTCACACCTGCACTATTGCCCACCTGCTGGCGTAATCTCAGGTAAGCCACCTGCGAGACGCTCCACTGAGGAATAATACTCAACTAATCGGCTGAACAGACAGGCCATTATGGCAGAGAGAGACAGAAAACACTGAGGAGAAACGCTCCTGTTTGTGTGGCTACAGAAACCTGTCATGGTTACTCAATTACAACTCTTCTGATTTGACTTGTGCTTTCCAGGGGTCATTATCTGGTCTTGTTTACATAGGGGCTTTTCCAAAGCGTATCCAAGTGTGTCTTACTCCTCCAGCGTGGTGCGCAGGTCGGCCTCCGTTTTGGCCAGTTTGTCCCTCAGTTTGCTGCATTCAGCTTGACTCAGCTCCAGTTCCTTCTGCACGTTCTTCAGTCCAGCACCGGCCTTCTCCTGAGCTTCACTCAGACTCTTCTGCTTCTGTTAGAAAAGACAAAACATTACACGAGTGATTGTTTCACTATTTTTTTGGAATCACTGTTTTCAGTAATATATTTTGTTGCAAATGTTTGTTGGCACACCAAGAGTCCTAACACCACATTCAACTACCTCTGTAATATGATTAAAGTGTACGTCGCTCTCTATAAGAACGTACATACATTCTATGATTCTAATATTCTGCTAGTACACAGCTTTGTAAGAATTTAAACAATAAGTTTAACACCTTAACAAGCCCAAGTCGTATTACACACTTCTATAACCTAAGAATAGCTCCATTAGTTTGCACTGAAGTCCCTGCAGTTACTGAATAATAAGCCTTTGTATGAAATAAACCTGCACAGAAAGTACTGCCCAGAAATATGAACAGAAGACTCTTTACTGATAGAATGAATGATACGATGATATATATATATATATATATGTTAGTTATATGGAAAATCTTGTTACGACAGAAATGATCATATCATTATCATTCGTCATTTAATAATTTGTTACTCATAACTTAAAATAAATGGATAAAACATCTAAATTCCTTCTGGTGTTATATTGTAAGTGATTCCAAACTTTTGAACGGTAGTTTTTATAAAATCATAACCTCCCCTGACCTCTTCACCTCTGTTCACCTGACCATTTAGTCTGTCTGAGCAACTGTAGCTTTTTTGGTCCTGTCTTTCAAAACCCAGTAATTGTTTAATATGATTATACCCTCTGAAGGGGGATTTTCAGTGGACGGGGAGGACGCTAATGCACAGGGGTAAACAGAAAGCCCAGGAGGTCTGAGGTGAAGCTGATGAGGTACAGAAGTTTTCAGCAGAGATATTCAAGGTTATCAAGTATTTTGAGCAAAATGCTATTAAAACATTAATGATCTACAGGACATTTCTAAAGAATGTGCCTCAGGATTTGATAACTGATCTGCAGAATGCCTCAGATTTTCAATGCTGGAATACCTTGCTTTCTTCCTCCAGTTGCTTTTTAAGTTGAGAAACCTCTTTTTCCAGGTCCGCTCTTTGCTCCTGCAGGGCTTTAGCCTGGGCCGCGAGGTCTGGAGACTGGAGGGGAAGGTTTATATGTGATTAGCTGGTACAGACCAACACTGAACCGAAATGAGAAAAAAGCATTAGTACTGTGATTATATGGCTATATATTGCAATTGTGAGACATCTTGCCATATATTAGAAATTGTGAATCAATAATGTGAGATTATTTAAGATTAACCCGAACTATTTTTTTTAACAAAATAATTCATAAAATAATTGAAAAGACCCATCTGGAACTGATGCTCACCACACTGTAAAAACATTGCGACTGCCTAGAAGGCTCATTTGCATATTGCAACCTTCTGCTACACCAGAATTGGAAATGCCAATATCGTGATACAATTAACAAACAATATATCGTGCAGCCCTTGCATACATATTGTCACTAACACACAAAATCTTGACCCCCATAATCTTATTATACACTAGAGTGATGTATGTTTTATGCATTCTGTAGACATGTTTTATGTATTTTGGCCAATGTTTTCCTACACGTTAACTTCAAAGAGATCAAATCCAAGCTTTTTTTTTCCATTTTGCACCTTGCCAAGTATGTGCAAAGAAAAAAAAGAAGCAAGGATCATTTTTCTTGGCAAGAAAAAGAGGCTGGGATTTTGGCAGTGAGTGCTGAGCGTTAACATTTGTACCCATGTGCTTTCTCGATCAGCACGCACATGTTTAAACATTAGCCGTGAGCACAGCACTGACTGGGTAAATACAGGCGGCTGCCTTTTCCTCTCCGCAGCCCAAAGCCTCTCTGAGCGGACGGCCTTTTGATAAGGAGCTCACAGTATTAGCTCTTTGCTGAGCCCAATTACTACAGCACAACAACGGCTCACTTTGTTGTCCGCCTGCACGCTCCCCGCGGCCCGGGACTTCAGCGTCTGGATCTTTTCAAACACCAGGTTGACCTTCCTCTTGGTGGTGTCGTCGCTATCATTGCTTCTGCAAAAGACACATGGACACAAGTCTGGCTCTAATTTTAAGTATTTTGTGAAAAACAACAATAACAAGAAGCTTTTAAAAAATAAATGATCAAATGTAATTTTTCAGAGTTTTTCTTTGAGGTTAAATCAGTTTTATATGAGGCATTCTGGAATTCATTGGCTTAAAATATGCTGGGCCCTCCAGTGTGTGTACTTGTTTGTAAGCAAAAGGCTAATCTATAGGACTAAGAATACAACAAAATAATCTTGAAAGTTAAGGTTAGGATTAGGCTCAGAAAATTCATATATATATATATATATATATATATATATATATATGCACACACACGCACACACACACACACAATGTAAGCCAACGGAACAAGACCCCCCCCCCAAGTCATTTTGGCCGTTTCTGCAAATAGGTAAACTTTTTGTGTTTTAATAAAAATATGATTTTATTTGTGTGCAGCTGTTCAAAGCTGTGTTTGCTAGTCATGTACTCGTCAGAGTTCTGCTCAAAATTAGCTAAAATTGTCACTTTAAAATTGTCAAAACAGTCACTATTGAAATATTAAGTAAAGATTCATTAGTGTTACGATTATTTTTGTAGAGACAAATCATTTACTTTAATAATATAAACTTAATAATATAAAGCATTGGATTATTCACAGCGAAAGAATTTACTCTAAAGTCCAGCCAGTTAAAATGTAAAAAAACATATTGCATATAAGCACTTACATATTATAATGCATATTGCTGTCCAAAAAAAAAGTATCTTAATTTTTGTCAATTTTTACTTTTATGTATCATCCTTTACGTTGGGTTAATACTTGCTGATGAACAGACCAACGGAAACACTAAGAAATCACTTGGAATAGAACATCTTTATATTAATTTACATTAAAAGTTAAGAACGTTTTTTCTCCTGTAGGGTTAATGTTTTGGAGATGCATGTTTTGCTCCAGACAGCAATGATCTGTATAACATGTGCTATGTAAGTATGCAAATAGATATATTTCATTCCTACTCTCTCGTATTTTAACTTATGTCTATTTTATTTATTTCTATTTTTATTTCTGCCTAATATATGTAAATTTATGTGCAATTATATGTCTCGCTACTGTAACACTGCAATCTCCCTTCGAAATCAATTAAGTTCTTTCTATCTATCTATCTATCTGATATATGTACCTGACAACAGATTAAAAACAAGCATGTGTGTGTGTAAGTGAAGTGGATCAGAGTTTAATAGTTGACATTTCTGGGAAAAAAATCAGTCTGGCTCTTAGCTTGAGCTGAGAGGGCACCGTGCACGGCTTTGATGTGTCACCCGCTGACCTGCCCACCCTAATTACCCCGCCTACCGGTGGCCAAGCACATGCCTGAGAATGTGTTTGTTCTGGACATAACTAACTTTACGCTGCCCCTTCATTCCCCTAACGGAGAAGTAATGCTTCAGAGGAAAAGCACAGAACATCAGGTTACAGTCACAGAGGCAGAAATCAAGCTGCGTATCTACATTCCATTCTCTCTACTGTAAAGAGACAGAAACCTGCAGCACAGAACCAGCTCATACACACACACACACACACACACACACACACCTCTGTGAGCAAAATATTTAATGACAGTTTCATGACGTCATCTCACAGGGACTCCACTGCCCAACACGAGTGAATACAAGACTGTTTACTTCTCTCTACAAAATATTATTTTTCCAAAAAAGTAATACCTAAAAAATATGTGAAAAGTATGGACAAAACCTTTTTTTCTGTTTTGTACTGCAAACTGCAACACAAACCAGGAACTGAAGATTCTGTAGATACAGTTATTTATTTAACAAGATGTTATTACATAATAAACTGTCTCATCACAGTAGCTCCCTCTAATCACTGTTCTGCATTCTGAATATTGATTTCTCTTTGTTCTCAGTCAGAGTTGTGGGAATTGGGGTGCTAAAGTGGTTGCAGCTTCCCTGGTTTAACTGAAACTGTTAATAAATAAATAAACGAACTGAACTTTAAAAACAAGTTTACCATTCCGAAAGGCCAATATGTGCTCGTGAATTTGAATTATTTTATGTTTTATTTATACAGTACTGTGCACAATTTTTAGTTTTAGAATTAGCATAAAAAAGCAATTTATCTGGGCAGTAAGTATTAATTTGCTCAGAAAAACACTAATATAGTGATAAAAACAAATATAACAAAACAATAATTCATACAATGTGGGTTCCTTAAATAATTTTTAATACTGCATTATGTTAAATCAAGTACGCTGATGAAATCTAACAATCTGACATCTGGCAGCTTTGAGAAGAAATCTGGAACCAAACTTCAACTATCAACTACTTTTTTAAAAATAGGAAATTTTTTTTTACTCCTAACTGTATGTTCATAGTTTAAATTTATTCTAATAAGATATGACAAAAAACACATTTATTGCTATTATTGAATTGGTTTTAAATCATGTGCTAAGATGCCTAAGACTTTCCCACAGTATTGTATACTTTCAAAATCTGCAGTAGCTGTGCATTGTTTAAGTCACAAAGAGCCGAGTCAGTTCCTTTGCCAGCTTTTGGCCACTTTGGGGGCCAAGCACAAACAGCTTGATCTGCCCAGAGGAAAAGTTACTGCCAGTTTTCTTGACTTATAAAAATTGTTTTGAATATATTTCTTTATTTTTCAACCAATCAATCTTCCACTCTACATATCAATGACCTGACTGGTTGCCGCCCAGCTCATCTGTATAAAGTTTGTGGAGAAGCAGAGTGAACAGGGTGTGCATCAACAGTTTCATGTCAGGTTATGTGTGCATACTCTCGTCTCATTCACGTCCATGTTCTCAATCACTTTCCAATCATCTACACCTGCATTCGTCATTCGGAACACTATCGCAAACATCATAAACATCTTAATGCTTAATGCTACGTTCACATTACAAGCCTCAGTGCTCAAATCCGAATTTTTGCTCAAATCCGACCTCTCTGACACGATGGTTCACACTCGTTTAGGTAAATGATTCAAATCTGTCATTAATGTGAACGAACCGGCGTCCTGAAATGACCCTCATGCGCACATCCTACTCAGTAACGTCACGTGAATGAATCACGTGCGTCATCAGCAAACAAACTAACGAGCAGAACGAGCTTCGCTGAGAAGATCATTAACTCTGATCAGCTCTCAGCTCCATTATTAGAGCGAGACGAAGGTGAAAAAGGTGAAGTGCTGCTTTTCAACCGTTTACAGGCTTTAACTTCTGCTCGGCGCTGCCGTCATGGTAACGCTGAATGACGACGCACGCGCAGTGGAAGAAAAGCACATGAATTCCGATCCGAGCTTCACATTAAGGCAGCATGGCCACGAATCGCATACGTATCAGATCTAGGACCGCATTTAAAAAGTGGCTCAGGTCGGATTGAAAAAAGATCAGATTTGTGTTTCCATACAGCTCTGAAAACATCAGATCTGAGTCACATTAGGGCAAAAATTTAGATTTGTGCCACTTTAACCTGGTAATGTGAACGTAGCCATAGATCAAGCACCATATTAGAATCATTTTATGAATGTATCCAAAATAAAACTGGGTTTATAGATTTATATCTTTGAGCACACTGATTCCAAACTTTCAAACTTTTCAAATATGTTGTATATCATCACTATAATCTCTCCACCTCATCATTCTTCCAAGCAGCACAGGAGGAATGCAGAGAGGGCGGAACACTAAGAATACGAAGTTGGCCGAGTGTACGGTTACAGGAGAGTATTAACTGAGCAGCGCAGGACTATGGGACTCGTCTGCTGCGCCTTTGAAGCAGACCGATGCTCATGCAGGATTAGACGAGAACAACAGGAAACAAGCTGCAGCTCTGGAGGAACTTTAGCCCTCGTTAAGCAGAACAGAGCAGACCTCCTGACTCGATCCTGTGGGAGGAGGTGCATGGTCCCGAGAGTGACCCTCCCTACCCCTCTAACACATCTCACTCCCTTAATTCCACAGTATGAATCACTCAGGGAGTTGGCTAATAAAGAACAAGGTGTCTTCAGGAGGAGAAAATGATACTGCTGGACAGAATAATGAATCTTACTGCAAAAAACAGAGGATTTTATTCAGAAAAATATCAGATTAATGTGATAAGCCAAGGAATGCTTGTGTTAGTGATTTTAACCACATTTAAGATGAGATATGCATGATAACAAGAAGCTGCAGCAAAATGCAATGTTAATTACATTTAAGGTTCAATAAATAAGCTCAGTAAACAGCTATTCTGCTAAGCAATGTAATCCTTTAACAGTATCGCTGTAGCAAATAAGGATCTACAAGCAAATAAGGATCTACAAAACCATTAAAAACCATTAAAGAAATAGTTCATTTAAGTCATAAAAACTGTTGCCTTTACTAAATGACCTATAAGAAACCCCTTTTGTTTAAGGGTGAACATAAATAATTTTGGGATTTTAAGAACTGTGAATGAACCTCCTTACTCGTGTTAAAATCACTGTAACGTACTGCCTCAACTGGCTTGTTATGTTTATAAGATGGCAACAATATAAAATATGATAAAAGAAATGTTTACAGAACATTTGTGTCACAGCAATTACTATTAATTACAACAAGTTATAACTAATACTAATCACAATAAACAATTCTTCCACCTAGAAATGCAGTTTGTTTAGAGTAGGCTATTGTGACCAGCAACTATGAAGGAAGTCGAGAAAGTTCAGGCACCTATTATTGCAGGCATGTCAAACTGGGGACCTCCTGGGCCAAAGTGCTGCGGAGATTAGCGCTTAACTTCATCTATGGCTCTGAATTCAGTTCAAGAGGCCTTGCTAATTAGCTGATGAGCTGAATCAGGTGTGTTTAATGAGGCAGTGTGCTGGCGTATGCAGTGTTTTGGCCCGCAAGGACTGGAGCCTGACACATGTATTATTGTATATAAGTGTATCTTTTAATTTTTTTGTCATATAATAGTGTTTCACACAGAAACAAGTCATTTTTGCTTAACACAAACTTAATACTAATTTCCTGTTCATGTGATTTCGTGTTGTGTTAGCATCAAGCTAACAATGCTACATATTCTTTTTCCCCATTGTGGGTTTAATACTACTTAAGGTATATCTGACCAAAGCACATACATAAAAGACATATTCTTTACTAATTTTATGTTTTACAGTGAATCATTCGATAAATACTTCAATTCAAAGCCTGAGACTGAGTATGAATGGAGGAGCGGATTAGCATGTAAGCATTCCATTATCCTGTTTAGACTGCTATGTTTTAGCTGGATTGTTAAGAAAATAAGTTGCCAGCTCTTCAGGTTAAACAAAACTGGGTTCATACTTCAGCTAACAGTACACTTAGTAGTCCATGCAAGCAGAAGTGAAGTCTATTCATACTACAATGGTTTTAGTGAGTTGGGGCACTAATCCAGCATGCAAACGTTGTGAGGAGACGGCCACATGTGTGCGTATATCAAGTTATTTCTACAATGACTTCGGACGTAGCTCAGCCAATCAGATTTTAGAACCAGTAACCTGCTGTTGCCCTTAGTATCGGGCACAACAGGACACATCTTTCACTTTCTGAGTCAGAGAGTGCAGGGGAGGCATGCCTTTGAGTGGGCGTGGGTGTGTGTATGTAGGGGCATTCATTAAAGGGCTGAGTCTACTCATTGTGGGATTGGAGAACGTGAGTCAAGGTACTGTTATCACTGTGAGCTGGACTGTGATAAAACCCATTTGGATGCTTTAATGGGTCATTTTGATGTAATACACAGCACTAAGAAGCTGTTGTAATGGTACTGATGGGGCAGATATCCCGAAGCAATGCCAAACAAAGAAAAATGCATGAACTTGAGCCATCAGTGAAACATTACTCAGAGGTTATGTTTTCACTAAAAGAAAGAATGCAAAGCTTTGTTGAAAAATTCCCTTAAAACTGAGTCATGTTTAGTTTGGCCAATTAAAAAGAAAAAGATAGTGTTCTAAGAACTCACCCATCTTTGAGGTAATTGAATAAGATCTGCTTGGCAGTCTCTTCGTGTGTTTGTTGTGACAGCTCTTGTTGACCTTTGAGAAGATCAGGTGTTGTCTGTTCCAGGATGGAAAAGCATAAAACGTCAGTGAACAGCTATGAAAAGTTTTCAGTATATTTTCTCCCCAAGGAGAAGGTAAAATCAAAAGAAAAGGTTAGAACCTTTTTGTGTGAGTTCTTTAATCAAAAACTTCAGCCAACAAAGCATACTAACACAATACCACCTGAAAGGTTCAGTATCAATAGCTGCTGATAAATGTTCAACAAACCAGAAGACGTAGTACAAAAGACAGAAACTAACCTTTCTTACCTCGGCATCCACCTCCGTACTTGTCTTCTTACTGTTATTTGGAACCGGCCTGGACAAGGACGCTGTAGCCACACTGGTCAGAGTCCTTGTGCTTGGTGTTATGTTCTCTCCCTCCACTCCCTTGTTCTCCACAGGCAGAATGGAGGGCCGAGAAAGGGGCTTCTTATAGCCTACAATAGAAGCCGTAGCACTGGACACTGTACCTTGTGGAGATCCGGGCGCACTGTTGATCCGTGCCACATTTCTGAAAGCTGATCTGCGTCCAAAAGTGGACGGCGGGGACATGGGGGACTTCTGCAGAAGCTGCGACGGCCTTAGCAGATGCTCAGTGGACCTGCCTCGGTTTCGGCTCACTTCGTCCAGGTACTCTGCATCACCCTGCAGGCCAAAGGGCAAGGCGCTGTCCACGCTACGGGACCGCTTGCGGTCTTCTGGGTTGATTCGATTTCTTCGGCCTGTCCGTCCTCTCCTCTGTTGGACCTCTTTACCATCAAATTTACTGATGAGCTCATCGACGCCCGGAATGGACCCAGTGTCAATATCTCGGCCAGTTCCTGGCAAGAAGGGGATGTAGCGACGGTTCTCATGGCGGTTTATGGTGTCTGCATACAGCGCCTCCAGCTGCTCTTCCTTGGTTGGCGTAGTCGAGGACACGGAGGAATGGCGGGAGCGTGATGACTGAAGCACAGGGCCGCTGGAGTCAGTTCTTCGCAAGGGAAGGATGTCAGGCTCTCTGCGACTTCGTTCCAAGCTGGAGTTTGTGCTGCTAGCTGTGCTTGGGGTTCTACAAGAAGGCTGTTCAGTGGGCATGCTAGTAGATGCCTGAGGAACCGGTAGGCGTGGGTGAGGATGGGAAGGGGATGGAGGTTTGACTTGGGGCTGAGATTGGACGTTGACGTGGGGTTGGGCTTGGGTTCGAGGTTTAGGAAGAGGTTGAGTCTGGGGTTGGGCTTTTGTCGAACCTGTTTGAGGCTGGACTTTGGACGGGAACATTTGACGAAGAGCCTGTGGCTGAGCCTGTTTGCTTGCATCCTGTGCTGGTGGATCTGGGCTTTTGGGTTGGTCTAGGCTGGAGGATCTGGCATGAGTAACTGCCGTAGAAGTTGTTCTGGGCAGGGATCCTGGATAGAGGGTTCTAGTCTCAGCAGGAGAGAGAGGTTGGGGTGGGACGCTATGGAAATTATCAAGAGTGTTGCTCTCTGGGTCATAAGGCTTGAGGATCTCAGGATGCTTTTGGAAGTTTAGCAGAGCAGGTGTCTTCTTTGTTTGGGTCTCTTTGGGCTCAGAGATACCATTGAGAGGGCTGACATGTTGTCTTTGATTCTGGGCTCTATATTCTGCAAACGGGTTGCTGGACAGATTCTCCCTGTTTCCTCTAAAGTCATAGTCCTGATAGTTGTCAATGAAGGACCCTTCAGAGTCATTGAACCCATTATTGCTGGGGGCTCCATAAGGATTGGGCCCTCTGTCCTGATTATTCAGAACCACATAAGGATGTCCATCTATGCCTTGCACTCTGATGCTGAGGCCATAGGTGCCGCTATTTTGGCCTCTCGCACGGGTAGGCTGAGTGTAGCTCTGCTGTAATCCAGGGTTTGGAAGGCCACTGACTTTATAGGACTCCATCAGGAATGCTGAGAGAAATCCCTCTCCCTGGAAAAGGCTCACCTCTGCAAACAAAGCCATAAGCTCATTATTGGTCCAAAAATGGATGCCTTCAGATCCAAATGACTTCTGTAAATGTTTTGAAAGTCTAACTACCACTAATGAGACTTTAAAGTCTTGTGACCTTTGATTAGTTCATGGAGTTTATTTGTGTTTAGCAATGAATGAGGTGAGTGTGTGCAGTCTTAAATCCCAAACACAGCTCTGGAAAGGTATTACAGTTAAGAACACAAGCCAAACAAAAGTTGGACAAAAAGATTTTACTGAAAGACAACAGTCATTCTTTGCACCGTGTATTATTAGCTAAACACTGTCATTACAGAGCAAACATGTCTAGTGTCAAAACCTGTGTAGTTACTCCAGAACTGCTAGCAGTGATTCATTCAGGCCTTCTTTGGGTAAAGCACAGAATAATACACTAGCCCTTTTACATCATGGGTCATGCGGGCACGGCAAACACACAGCCAGTTAAGTAACTGGTATTTCAGCTCGGTCGCAGACGCTATAATCTCCAATACATTCTTAATGCTGCAGTGACCAAAGCAAAGGTAGGCTTGGGCTCAGGCTGTAGGCAGGGCCTCTGGGAAAATAAACCTTGGCTAGGAAAGCAAACACTGCAAGAGTCCGGAGCCTGAGGTCAGGAAGATAAGAAGGTGAGGGCCAAGAGGAGCTTGAGTTTGTGCACTCAAGCCTATGAAACATAAGAAGATATTATACCAAAAGGGCTACAGCTGTCACAACATTAAAGAGGAATTCCACCGATTTTTTCAAAATTTCTGCTCAATTCAATTGTTAAGAGTGGTTTGATGTGAAATGCTTACTTCTAAAGACACTTACAGGGTGGTGGTGATAGGAACCCAGTCATACAAAGAGTTTCATGCATCTAAAAGGTTTATGATAGTTTTCAGATGAGCTTTCAGCCTGAAATGATTTCTAAAATCTATTCATGGTGGAGAGGTACATGCAGGTCACTGTACAAATTTACCATTACAAGAATTTCACAGAAAGACAAGTGTAGGTTCACAGGCCATGTTCATTAGTAAATAAAATGGCTATATTTGTGACGTAGACATGGTGACTCCTGGTTCCCATCACCTCCACAGTAAAGACACCAGATACAGCAAGTTTCTCTACAATGCATTTCACATCAAACCACTCTGAATGACTTTGTTTACATCTCAACCAAAATCCTAAAAACTGGTAGATTTCCCCTTTTATAAGAATTAACCTGTTTTCACTGAGTCATATATGTTCACCATGGTGAATGAGAGCCATGTAGAAAGTATTGCCCCAAGGTCACTTTTGTATGTCGATCAAGAGTGAGGCATAGTCTCTTTCACCTACACAACAACCATTCATGTATCCAGTTACACCTCTATGGCTCAAAAAGACATTTTAATTCATGTGGTTGAATCTGACAATGAGCAGTGACCGTGTGATTTCTACAAACACAAAGCAATATACATATCACCTCTCTCCAGGCATCAAAACGCCTTTATCAGCTTCCTGTGGACACCACTGATAACACTAACAAATAAACACATGATTCTCATTGGCTCCTCTCTATCACAGCAGACAGGCTAAGGCTGGTTTGGGGTGAATGAGGGTTCCATGAGACATGACACCAGCCACAACACACCCATTCATCAACACACAAACACCAAAAACATTGCAATGCTGACCTCAAAAGCTACATATTAGCCCTCCTGGCAGGGTAACTACTGGGGGTGGGCGATATGACAGTGTTTTATCGTTAAAGAACACTGACCAATAGCATGTTTCATGCACAGAGACTATAATTAGACCGTTTTTTTTTCGATTAGAAGTGGAAAATAAACTTTTTTTCAGTATGTCAAAATATTCACTTTCTTAAAATACTGACTTTACATCTCTGAAAAATTACTAAATTTCTAGAAATACTGACTTAACATCTCAAAATATTCATTTATTATTTTAAAATAATGGCTTGTTTTCTCAAGATTTTGAGATACTTTGTAATAATGAGAAACAATGAAATAAATAATGAAATAAAGTTCAAGAAAGTAAGCAATTATTTCAGGAATCATTTCTTGTCTTTATGAGATACTTAGTGATTATTTTGTCAAAAGTCAATGTTTTGAGAAAATAAGTCATTATTCCAACATACTGAGTGATTGTTATGAGATGCTGTGTCTTTATTTCAACATATGATGTTAATATTTCAAAAAAACAAGTCGTTACTTCAAGAGACCAAGTCAACATTTTGACAGCGCAGTGCAGGCGATGGATAAAAATCATTGTACAGTTTTTTGATAGCAGTTTATAAATGTGGCACTACTGAAATTGATACATATTGCATGTCTTTAAGTATCGTGATATTGTTTCCATATCGCTCACTCCTAGTAACTACTGCACAGTCTTTGATGAGTGAAAGTACAACAAACATCCAAGACATGCAAAGCAGCGAGCTAGCAACTCTTCCTGGTTTACAACTAATACACAGGGGAGCAGAAGCGACTCAAACGCTCCAGCTTTTAAGAAGAGCAGAAGGGACAACAATGAGGGCGAGTTAAATAGCGACATGTCCCCTTATGCACGAGAAAAGGCGCTGCGCTACAGAAAAAAGAGAGGAGACCAAACAATAGCGTCTTTCAGCCTCAGTATCACATGTATCCAGCACACAGGGACTTGGGGGTGTTAATGTAGCTCCTTTTCCTTTCATTGTATCCTCTGGAAGCGCCCAAGTTTTGGCTTCTGACAGAGAGGAAGGCCACATGGCCTGTGCCAACTGAAATACCCTCACCCTCTGCCAACAGCTAGCTGCCTCTCGCAGAATTTCAGCACTGCTTTGGTGGGTGGATTCAACCGTCAATGCCAAAGCTTGACCTCTAAACCTAGACTGACTGCCTCTTTAATAAACCACTGCCTTTACACAAATCCAGACATCAAGTATATCATCGCTGTCAGAAATTGACAAAATTACATGGTATAAAATCTTACTACATTACAGTACACTACCGTTCAAAGATGTAGAATCACTGTTTTCAATAATGACAAATGTAGAAAATGACTATGTTAGAGCGGTAAAACTTTACACATTTCAAATAAGTAGTAGGACACTGGGAGGCTGTAAATGTGTCCAGAAGGATGTAATAAGCTGTACAAGATTAAAAAAAACCTGAAAAACCTGGGTAACAATGACAATTACGTTATAATTGAATTAATAATTGAATAAAACATCTAAAAGTAGCTGGTAATCTTTAAATCCACAATTTATACACTATTATTGCATATATAACAACATAAAATGTTAAAGTAGCAAGTGATTCCAAACTTTTGAACGCGATTGTACATCAAAGTTTTTCCCATAACCCTTTTGAACATGGGAAATATAATGGGGACTATAATGTCATTTATTCCAACACATTCAGTGTCTTCACTACTGTCCTGCTCTGGCACTTGGGAGGAGCCCACAGCCACTCTTTGATCACCCAATGGAAGACTGAGATTCAGAGAGGAGGAGAACGAAGCAACCGGCCTGTGCCTCTCTAAGGCGCGCCTTCATTACACCAGATAACACTGAAGACAGAGGATGCATGAACAGGACAATGGAGCAGACCACTGAGATGCCGGATGAGGCCTGTAACCTGCATTCACATCAAAAGCTTCAGGTTGTTCTGGACAGACTGTTCATTTGACTTTGAATTAACGTTCAAATGGAAAGAAACCGCAGATCACGATGACCTTAACGACAAACGGCTGTGTACAAGATCACGTCAACTGCTATAACACATTAGCACTGCAGACCTGACTGGTCAACCCATTCGAATAACTTTCAGATGTAAAGAGCAGAGCACTGGAAATATCACAACGTCCTTAAATACCAAGACCAAGACCAAAAAACAGGTTTTTTTAAAGTTAACTGCTCTTGCGTTAAAATTTCTGATCTTTTGTAGCAAATGCTAATAAACAGTTTTACAAGTTTAAATTTCACGAAAAACTGAATTTCTTCACGTTTTTTAAACAGAAGAGTTTGTAAATGTATGTTAAATATTGTAAAACTTTCAAAACATATTGTCCACCAGTCCATGCAGCTCATATCTTCTGAATTCACTGGTTTTGTGATGTCACACATACCATTTACACATCTGCCTACTCAGGTTACAGCAGTTTAGCTTCGCCCAATACTGCTGAAGTTATCAAGAGTGTTTCAGCCTTGACTGCTTTTCCTAAATGAGGCACAATATAGGGCAGCCAGTCAGAGCTCATTTACATATATCAGCCTTAAAGGCACAGTAACAGAAACAGCCTGTTTGATTTTTAGGTTGGAAAATGAACATTTAAAAAAAAATAATTAAGGCTGTTTTTGGTACAAGAATAAGAGATGTGGGCCCTTTAAAGGTATCCAGATATATTCAACATTTTAGGATATAATTTACACCAGAGACGATTCAGGTGGTCCTGCCTAATGTGGCTAGAAATCTTCATCCAGAAACTTGGGGAACGTCTAACACTTTCCCAAGGTGGCCCATCCCTGCTCCACAAGATCCACCTGGCTGCAGAGTTTCAACCCAACCCAACCCACACTTAACACCTAATGAGCTTGATCAGGTGTGTTAGATTAGAGTTGAAACTGCACTATTCAGGGTGCACAGCTCCTTGCACTCTAGCCACACAGTGCACTAGTGCCTTAGGTGGTGGAACACAGGCTTCCAAGTTCAGCCAGTGCACTCTGTCCAACAGACACTAATCAGGCTGGATCATCAGTTTGCAGCCCTTTAAAACCTTGCTAGAAGCTAAAGCATGTGAGGCAGTAAGTTCTGCTCCTTCTAATTAAGTAAATTAGCCATGATTTCCCTTCTAAAGTGAATTTCCTAGAAGGTTACCAGCTTTCAAAGACGCTCAGAGGATCACAGGTGCAACTCTGACACCCCATCAGTTTGATTCCTGTTATTCTAAGCATGAATCTCTCCAGGATACACTCAGGTTATACATGTATGTGCCCTTTCTGTTAAGTCTCCATGCAGTGTGGCTGGCTGGGTGGGCAGCTGGCGCAGAAAACTCCTCACTTGTTGCTGCCCAGCGGAGTTCCCACGCTCACAGACAAGAAAAGTGAAGGACAAACAAGTGAAAACGACGGAAGCTCACCGTTTTGCTGTGAGGAGCTGCGCGACTGCGTTGGCTGGTCAGGTCGTGTTAGTGCGTTTCAGACTGAAGCTGAAGTCCATGCTCCTCTGGAGCTCCCGAAGTCACTTATTGCAGGTCTTGTTTTCAGGGCAAGTTCGACTTTAACCAAAGGGCGAAGCGCTGTGCAAGCTCCGCCCAGTCCACGCCCACTGTAGCGAAAGGTCACGCCCACACCCCCGCCCCTTTCTGGCCTCGGGCTTTCTTAAAGGGCAGCTTCAGTGACTTTTCAAAATTTTGATGTGAAAAGCCCTGTTCTAGAGAATTGTTCACCGTGGTGGTGAATGGAACCAGACGTCTGAAGCGTTTAATGCTCCCTCACAGAAAGTTATCACACAAAATGGTTAGGAATCCGCTGTATGTTCAGTTTTATGATGTTTTTGAGATAACCTTTAGGCCTGTAGTGTATTTTTAAGATCCATTCACGGCGAAAATGTACATGCAGGGTATTTTAATGAAAAATGGCTCCCAAAGAAAACTTATTTTTTTCAGACTTACCACTGTTTACCATTACAAACGACATATAAGCTCTCAGAAGGCACGTGTAGGTGGTTTTGGATAGTAAATAAAATGGCTATATTTGTGTTGTAGACATGGTTCCCCTTGGTTCTTATCACCACCACTGTAAAAAAAAAAAATCAATCACTAAGTTTTTCTACTTTGAACCATTTTACATCAAACCATGATGAATGACTTTGTTTACGTTTCTGCAACAGTGCCGAAATTTCAAAAATATCAGTGTAGTTCTCCTTTAAGAGTGATTCTGACAGAACCATAAGCTGCGAATCAAGTTGATCATGAAAATTGATCCTTTTGATGTGATTGTAATAATGTAAACAAAATTGCTGACAGGTGTGTGCAATCAGCTGCTTAAAGGGGAATTCCACCATTTTTTCAAAATTTATTTATAAGACGTAAACAAAGTCTTTCAGACTGTTTTGTGTAAAATGGTTAAATGTAGAGAAACTTACTTACTCTGATTTTCTTTACAGTGGTGGTGATAGGAACCAGGGGTCACCATTTCTACAACACAAATTTAGCCACTTTATTTACTATCCAAAATGATCAGTGAACCAACACGTGTCTTCTGAGTTTTTACATGTAATGTTGATGATAGTAAAATAGTGGTAAATCTGCTATTTAGCCTCACAACACCCTGCATGCACCTATCTGCCATGAACTATCTAAAATCTATCTAAAACTATCATAAAACAATGCTTCAGACATCAGGCAGAGAATGTGTCATCACTTCATGTAATAGCTTTCTGTGCGGGTTGTTAAACTCTTCAGACATCTGGTTCCTATCATCACCACTGTGAACAATTCTGACTCAATAAGTTTCTCTAGAACGGCGCATTTCACACCAAACCACTCTGAATGACTTTGTTTACATCTTTGTGTAAATTCCTCTTTAAGCCAAAGCAGGCCTAAGTCCAAGCAGTGGAGTAAAAGGAGCCACTAAACTCCCATATTTTATTTCTTACTCAGATTCTCCAACCCAGCCCTTTAATCCACCTGCAGTTTCACGATTTTCCTGCTCTAACACACCTGTTTCAGTGCCAGAAGGACCAATCATTAGCTAATATTGTGACTCAGCTGCAAGTGGACTACACGACTGGACCTGGAAAACACAATGAGTGTGTTTACATGGATTTAATAATCCGATCATAATCAGATTTCTGCAGTTATCTGATTATTAAGTGCAGGTAAACGCACTCAATGACTAGCCAGGTTTACATTTAGAAGGGTTGCCTAATGCCTGATTACCAGTGCTGTATTTTTGTTTTTTCCCTTTAGGTTTACTTGTAACATTTGCATAGATTATGTACCAAAACAATCATAATTCATTTTTACATGACCATTTCCCCCTATCTTTATCCCTAAGAATTAATCAGGCTGTTTTAGTTATTATACCTTGAAGACAGATAAAGGTAAATGAGCTCTGTTTTGATTGGCTGTCCTGTATTGCCTCTCATTCAAAAGCAGTTCAGGCTGAAATACTCTTATAACTTCAGTGTAAATGGGCGGAGCTAAACTGCAGAAGACTGAATAGGTGTATATATGTACATGTAAAGGTGAGTTTGAAACAGGCTGTGTTTGCTGCTCGCTGTATGAACTGGGGAGTGAATTTTGAAAGTTTAACAATGTTTACATATCAGTGTTTCATCAAATCATAAAGGTCAGGAAAAATGACCTGTTCACAGCACAGGTGAGTAGAACAGCCTACAGTGAAAACGGGAACTTTTTAGTCTAAAATAAAACGCTGAAGCTCTAAAGTGAGAGGTGTGGCAACAGTAAAGCAATACACCCTTAAAAATGGTTCTGCAAGGGTTCTACAGTGAAGACAATGGTTTTATATAGAACCATGACAACTCAAAGAAGTGCTTGAATACATAATTGGTTCTTTGCATGGTAAAATGCTTCTTCTCTGTGAAGAAAAACCTGTTTTTACAAATCTTTTAAAAATACTTGTAGAGCACCAAAAAGGGCTCTGCTGTTTTTACAAGTAATAGAACCTTTTTGGGTTAATAGGACTATTTTTTGCCAAAAAATTTGAAGGACTAAAATTTTAATGAGGAAAAAGATTAATTTACTCACAAATATACAAACACAGTGAGTGTATTATCAGTTGAAAATACTCAAAAAGTACAAAAATGTCAACATTTGGAACAATGAACTAAGTAAGTAGTGAAAGTTATTCATTTATAATTGTAATTAAGTATTAAATGGTGGTCCTTGGGAACAGTCAGGAGTTTGAAGTGTAAAGGCTGACAGCGCCATCTAGTGATGGAGGATACTGTAATGCATGCGTGCTGCATATGTAAATGACAATTGACTAGTTTTTGTACTGTTTATTTGTCATTTTGACAATGAGCTACCTATCAGTGCTGTAAGGAGTCACTGTAAAAGTAAACAGATTACCGGCAGAGCTGCATACAAATGTTCATGGGTGGAGGGATAAGAACTGGCTAAATGTTCATGGTCAGTACAGTTGAAGATTTTGAAGCCAAGTTCTGGAAGATTAATGCTTAAAATCCATTCAATATTACAGAGTTGCAGTCAAAAAAAAAAAAACCTTCTACAGACTGAAGGCCTTGAGATAAAATATGCTTCTTCCTTTTGCAGTCGCTCCACAGCCAGGTCTCCAGCCACTTCACGGTCATAGCCAAGGTCCAACGCCTTGTAAAAATATTAAAGTAGCTCTTTTCCACAAACCCTGAGTCTCAGACACACTGAGCAAGGATGCAGCTGCGCTCTCACTTTGTTGCTGCAGTTATTCAACACTGAGTTGCTCTTAGAAACACCTACTCTCACTGGCCAGTTTATCAGAAACGCCTAACATAACGTAGGTTTATAGTTACATCACCGTATTTTGAATCCGACCGGCTCCCTCTGCATTAGAGCCAGGTCAGGTCAGGAGTCACAACCCAAATGTTAATAAGAGCCGTTTTGTCCTTCCAACAAAGTCAAACCACCTCGGGAGCCGCAACATTTAATGTCCAGTGTGTCTTAATGTCGTAGTATGGGCTAAAAATATAAACGAGAGCGCAGATTTACTCCGCTCTACTTTAAGCTTTAGCCGCTTTCCTCCCATCTCCGCCAGAACACCTTTCTTCAAAACTAGAAGAGTTTCTTGTAAAATGTCTCAGCGTCCGGCTGTTTCATGAGGCTGAAGTCGCTTCTCATTCGCCAGTTTCTCGTTCTAATTTTCCCGTTTCACCTTAAATTCTGCCTTAGGCGCCGAATGCAACTGCTGCACCATTTAAGGTGGAACGGGAAAATACGAAAGAGAAGCGAGTTCATTTTCGCAACGTTTTTTAACTCTCGTTGCAGATTTAACCAACCGCGCTGCTTATAAATGCGAATAAGTCCTCCAAATGCAAATGTTCGTCTTAATCTATGTTTTTTTCGTTCGCTACTGGCGAGGCCAGACCTCGGGGCTATGTGACCTGCTGTCTGTTCTCAGTCGTTGAGAACCAGGGCTTTCGCGCTATGCTGCACTATGCTTTGGAGCCGAGATTCAGCGTCCAGTCTCGAAAATCAACTCTCTACAACGAGACAACACCGACGTTATACTACTGCATGGAGCATACATCATCTAAACCGCTTATCCTTCTGGGTCGCTGGAGCCTATCCCAAGCTGTCATTGGGCGGAAGGCAGGATACACCCTGGACAGGTCGCCAGTCCATCGCAGGCAGACAGACAGACACGACACACACACCTACCTAGGGGCAATTCTGCATGTTTTCGGACTGTGGGAGGAAACCCACGCAGACACGGGGAGAACAGGCAAACTCCACACAGAAATGACCCTGGTCGCCCGGCCGGGAATCGAACCCAGGCCATTCTCGCTGTGAGGCAACAGCGCTACCCACTGCGCCACCGTGCTGCCCCCGAAGTGATAAGATCACTAAAGAAAACGGGAAGGGTGGCTGTAACGTGCTGCGTGGACACCCATCACCACTGGATCTTATTTCAGGGTAACAGCGCATTTTATCGCAGATGAGTGGCAGCAGCGTCTCTGACTGAGAGCCTTCTAGTTCACTTGCCGCATCACTTCCATTTGATTTATCAATAAAAGATATTTTAGATATTTAAAGCAAAGTATTTGTAATGATCCGTAATGCATTTACATTATGGATCATTACAAATACTTTGCTTTAAAACTACCAAGTCCTCAGACAGTAGGAAGATAGAAATCCTGTATAGAGAAAAAAGATGCATCGAGATGCATCGATAATCGTTTTGTAATCGCATCGCAGCCCTCTGAATCGTAACTGAATCAAATCGTGAGGTGCCAAAAGATTCCAACCCCCTAGGCCTCAACATGGTAATTTGTAATTGCAATATAGTAATTTGTGGCCTCAACATAGTAAATTGTGGTGCCCAATATAGTAATTTGTGGCCTATATAATAAATTGTGGCCTCAGTATATTAATTAGTGGCCTCAACATAGTAATTCATCACCTCAGTATAGGAATTTGTGTCCTCATTATAGTAAATTGTGGCCTCAATATAGTACTTTGTGGCCTCAACGTAGTAAATTGTGTCCTTAATATAGTAATTTGTGACCTCAACACAGTAAACTGTGGTATCAAT